TTTTTAATGTAAAATTACGAAAATTATTACATTTTCATTGCTATATTCAATTATTTAAACGTACTATATATATCTATTTATTTTTGCTCGCCATATTTCAACCGCCATTTTGTTTGTCTTTTTGGGTATTTTTAGTGTATATCAAAATTTCAACTATGAATTCAATTTACCTGCACATAAAAAAACCCAAATTTTATCGAAATACTAATTTTGACCACTAAACGTGGTATTATTTAATTAATGACTCAAACGTTGTATGAACATAACATGAAAAGTCGATTAAATTTGTGTTGCGCACTTTAAAAAAAATTCCGTATTTATCTCTCTTTGTGTTTTATCATTCATGTTAATCAGTAAAAATTGCTTTACGTTTATTTACAAATCAAGCTCATTTTTTTGTTAGTTTTTTTCTCTCTTGTTTATCAAATAATATGTAGAAAATATTGCGTCTACTTCACAATGGTTACAGAGATATAAATTAAGGAAAATGTGAGTTTTAGGGCAAAAAAATTTGTTAAGAATTGCATAAATTTCATAAAATGTGCGATAAATAATACAGTTTAAAAATAATCATGCTTACTAAAAAAATATTACTTTAAAAAATTTAAAACGATTTCTAGTTGAAATTCCAATTCAGTTAATAAATTGTTATAAAAAGGAACTGTAAATTGCAAAATTATGTTTGAACTTAAAACTGAAGAAAAAATGTATTCTAATATAATAAAACTTAAATATAACGCCAGTATTACAGTTTACAATTAAAGATAGATGTTTTATAGTAACCTTTTATTAGTACAGACAAATTAGGTGAAAATTCGAAAAAACCCAGATATTCAAAATAATAATCCCGGACCCTTTGGGATTTGTTAGGTTCTGGGCAACACATGAAAATCTCACGAAAACCCGTGAGGATTTTGGTTCTCGCAACCCTTCCGTCTCCTATTCCTTCGATACTTAACTCTCTTAAGAAAATTGTTTGTTTTTTTTGTTGTTTTTCCCTGTAAAACATTTTACTAGATTAGCCAACATGGAAGCAAAAAAAAGAATTATTCAAAAGCATTTTTTTTTTTTAAAAAAGAAAAGAAAAAAAAAACTTGGGAATGCTAAAACTTTTCCCAGAACCAAATTGATAAAAATCGGTTCTAACGGTCTGATTTCATGCTAGAATGACTTGATGAAGGACGATGGATAAAAACTGATTAAAATTCAAGAAAAACTGTTAAGAATCGCAAAAGATCAGATCCTCGAATCTTAAAATTGGTTAGATTCAGACAAGGAAATAAATCGACACTGTCTAAAATATTTATTATTAATCTATACTATTTCTGAAATTCCTTCAAAATTTCTTTGATAGTTTTTACATTATTGCGCATTATAAGACAAAAATCATTATTTTTCTCTCTACATTTATGTAATTAAAAACCACCGACATTGCTGGTTCAGAAAATTTTCGTAACACGTTTTACACGTTTCTCATTTTCAATTGACACGTTTCTCAATTTTTTTAATGCAAAAACTATTCAACAACAAAAAATATGTAATTTTGCACAATCTTAAAGAAGAAATGTTAATGAAACATTCTCACATGAAAATGCTATTGATGCAGACATTTTTTTTCTCTCTTTTATCCATAAAAAATTATTATTGTGTTAGTAAATAGAATAGGGGTCTGAAGATTACACGATTTTCCTACTATCTACTTTTTTCCCCTCTTCGTTACCATGTTTAAGGAAAATCTTGCTTCTAACCCACAATGGTAAACTTCAGTAAAAAGTGGAATCTATTGGCGTGGGAGAAAAAAAAACAATATTTGCGTATACCATGTTGACAAGTGTTGAAATCTTAAGACGGCTAATATATTTACTAAAAGTACAGCAATTGACGTTGATCTTTTGCAGCTAAGTACTTCGCGTACATCTTATGATGAACAACGTTTCTCACACTTTTAATTTCTAATTAGTTTTGGTGTAACTGTAAATTTGAGTTTTTTTCTTTTCACAATCAAAATCAATCCACTTTAATATCGCGATTTATTGTCGCGCCCATTCAACACCTCCTAGAAGAGAGAAGGCCTCCGAGCGGATCAATTTAATAGTCCGACGTAAAGAACATAAACTGCGCTGTGGAAGTAAAATAAAGATTTCGCAGCATCCGGACACTAAACTGCACAATTGAGAAAAGGAGAGGTGTCCCAGCGTTCAGAGAGCTAAAGGATCGGATTTCACATTTATGGTAACCCGTGCGGAGGCCTTCTCTCCTGTAAGAGGTGTTGGTGGATAGCTGACAAGAACGAAACGATCTGAAAATAACAGAGTGTTGACGAGCAGGGACCGGAGCCCCCTCGTTACAATCAAATTACAACGCAGCGTGTCTCAAAACTCGTACGTTCTATGATTGCCTTGTTCTGAGTAACTGATCAGGGCCCGACTTAGACTAATTTTTATTTTATTTTATAACCGTCGTTGGACAGCCGACCCAATTTCATGGGTTTACGACTTCTTACGTTCAACTCCGTAGCCTTGTAATTTTGAACCAATCCAGAAGACAAGGAAACTCCTGGATCAGTACCCCCAGAGGTATTGATTTGTTGTGGGAACATGGAGGACTTTGAGACTCGACAGATTTAACGTGCATCAGCCACCATTTACTACACGGGGAGTCTTCGGCCGGCGAGGATCGAACCCACGACCTCTTGGATATGGGCCCAGCGCCCTACCGACCAGGCTATCCCGGCCTTTGACTTAGACTAATTGGGGCCCGGAGCAATAACTTCTTTGGGGCCCCTCCTCTGCTTCAGTAATGAAGAACCGAACTGTATGGAGGTATTTAAATTTTTCGCCTCATTATAGATATTTAACAAGAAATTTGACTAGAACCTAAAATAGGTCCCCTTTCCTCCAATGGTCAGACGAAGTATCGTTCAGTCCATTTTATTGATTTTCTGACAATTATATATTCATCATGCCGAATGCAGTTTACTGATTGTTAACTTTGTCACCTAGGTGCGAAAAATTCACATCCTTGCTGACATTAGGGCGGAAGTAAGCTAAATTTTCGCAATGACGATGGCTCAAATTAAGCCAATCAGAAGCCTATATTTTTGAAAACATACAGCATTTTGCGATATGTAAAAGTACAGGCTTTTCATTGCTTAAATTTGTCATCGCGAAAATTTAGCTGCAATCCGCCCTAGAAAGCCATGGATTTACGAAATATAGATTTTTTGCGTTCATACTATAGATTAACGAAGAAGCTAACTTAAAACTGATGGATTTTACACTGTACATATATTTCGTTTAAAAAAAGTTCATTGAAGAAGGAAACTTAAAATAAACTTTCTATTCAATTTGAGCCCCCCCCCCCCTCTGATGTGGAGGCCCGGGGCAGCTGCCCCTTACGCCCCTGCCTGAGTCAGGCTCTGTAACTGATCGATATCCAGTAGTTTTAATAAATCATTAATTTGTTAATTATAATTCAAATTTATGAAATCTATATTCCATACATCGTCATTCAAAGTTAGCTGCAAATAATTGGCATTTTATACAAAATCACGTAATGAAAATGCAAAAATTGTTCATGGAATTTTAGTAATTTACCTGTATATTTAAACGATATTGAGTCATTGCTTCTGCCATAATTCGCATGTGAGTCTGGACATCATTAGAGTGTGTATCGAGCTCTTCAGATGTGCCCTTCAAGAAAAAAAAACAAAATTGAGAGAAAAAATAAAAAGTGGCACTCTTAATAACAGAAAGTATTTTAGTACTTATACTGATTTATGCGGCTAGTTATAAGACTCGTTAACCCAAAGAAAAAACATGCAAACAAAAAAAAAGTGATATCCCATAGGTATTAATATTTAATTTAGTGTCGATATTGCAAGATAAACATAGATATTTTACATCCACAATTATGTAATTTTTAAAGGTAAAATTCAAAATGTGTGGGAAATTTATTGTAGCAAAATAGAAAAAGCATTTTTTTTTTAACCGGTTCTGCTCAAATATTTATATTAGTCTTAAATTACATTATTTACGAAAATATACAAATTTGTATACTTTACTGTACAATCATACTTATCAGATAATTAAAAGTAATAAATATATAATTACAAATTATTTTTTGCCCGAAATTATCTTTTGTAAGCCAGTTAGTTTTAAAAATGCATAAATAACACAAAAAAATTAAGAGTTAAATTAACGAAACTAATGGAACTATATTTTCCGAAATCCCAATCCTGCGAAGAAAAAAAATTTGTTAATTCATTTAAGTACGTTTTGTAAATGATTTCGGGGTTTAATTTATTGACTACAAATTTTAAGTAAGTCATTCAAACCATAAAATTGTTTCGAGGAGCTAAAAAATTCGATTATTAGGTTAATACCGTATTTGGGGTGATACCTTTTATTTTATTTATTATTTTTTTTTACCTCACTATACAAAGCTATTAAGAAAATATTGATTATATTTTCTGTCATGAAAAAAATTGTAATAATAAACAAATATGGAAGTTTAAAGGTAATAACGTTTTACGGAAAAAGGAAAAATAACAGTTTTAGTACAATAAAGTTCTATCTGATAATGGAGAGTACGAAAAAATAAATTTTAATAATAAAAAAAGTTTTTTTTTTTTAAAAAAATCGGGAAATAAAATTATGCTTTGGCTTCTAATCAGAAATAAAAAATCATTTTTAAGCTTACCTTGAAGGGACAACCTGCCTCTGCTAAAGGGCAACATCTTGGCTTCATTGGACACATCAGTTCATGTGGCAATAACTAAAAATTGCACTTTATGTTAGTTACTTATTATTTTAAAGAAATTCAAATCTAAAACAATGCAGCTGCTAAGGTTCGTTCTACCACAATTAATAAGAAACTAAGTTTTTTAAAAACCTGATAGAAACAAATTCTCATATTAACACAATCATTTTAAAACTTTTTTTTATTAAAAATGTCTAACTATTTTGTTTTTAATAGGAGCTTCTGAAAAAAATATATAAAAGGGGCATCTGTGTCAAAGGATTTATGAGAACAAATTTTAGGTATTTATCTACCTTAGTTTTCCTTTTTTTTTTTCAAATGTGATTATTATTAGGCTACATTTTCCATAGAAATTAATTTTAAAAAAATAGGCAAATAAAAAATCACTAAAACATAAAACCTGAGAAGGTCACCAATGCAGCAGATAGCACCTTCTGTTACAAGCATCAATATATTTCGAATTTAAAATTCCTCCACTAGGTAGCGCAAATATTTGGACTGGTAGAGTACTTGGTCTAAAGTACAACATTACCCCTACACAACTTTTTCTTTCTTTGAAATTGAAGCAAAGCTTTACAATAATGCGCATATATAAAAAAGAGAAAATAAACACAAAGACGATTCTAAACACGTGAAAAAGCAATTTAAAGACAGGTGTAACCATTTAATTTTTTGTTCTAAAAGCACGATATTCAGAAGCGTATGGGAATTCCCGTGACAGGAACATAGTGATTAATTATAAAAAGAGGCGTTTGAAATAAACAGTTCTTAACCTTCCACGATCTTAGCATAGAGAAAAATCACGAAGCTTTATCAACACTGCGTCCCTGTTCTAATTACATTCATTACGATAATGATAATGTGTTGAGGAGTAAAAAATCGATAAATTTTGGAAATTTGACGTTAGCAATTAAAATAATTACTATTTTACCTTTGTTAACTCGATTCTATGATAGTTCAACCTTGCAATCGAAATTTCGACCACTTTCTGTTGTTGTTTCTAATGCTACTTGCCAAATACCAACTTGGTGAAACCAAGATAGAGGGTGCATTTCTAGCTTTTCAGTGGCGCCCTCTGTTGACAAGAACACGACTTCAACCACACACATACGTTTTAAAGGGCGAGTCCTTTTTATAGATCGATTTATTCATCCGCAGATCGTTATTGTGACCTGAACCAGAGAACGATCAATCTCCAATTCAGTACCCCCAGAGGTTTAATTTGTTATAGGAACTTAGGACTTTGTGATCCCGACAGATTTAACGTGTACCAGTCACCATTTACTACACAGGAAATCTTCGGCCAGTTGGAATTGAACTCACGACCATTTGAACATGGGCCCAATGCCCTACCAACCTGGCTATTCCGGCACTCGACCACTTTCTCAATAGCCAAAGCAGAGGTATCCAAAAGATGTTCCATGGTACACAAGGGTTCCCTGGGAGGGCGACAAGGGTACTTTTTTAGTATTCCATTCTTTCCCATAGTTTGAAAATCTATTCCAATTTAATTTCTAGATTTAGCACCCTGG